GTACATTAGACACGGTACCTTCTCGCCTGGACTAAAAGTTTCACTGTACATTAGACACGGTACCTTCTCGCCTGGACTAAAAGTTTCACTGTACATTAGACACGGTACCTTCTCGCCTGGACTAAAAGTTTCACTGTACATTAGACACGGTACCTTCTCACATAGACTAAAAGTTTCACTGTACATTAGACACGGGGCCTTCTCGCCTGGACTAAAAGTTTCACTGAGATGCACACCTCTCTTTAAAATGACAACATATCGGAGGTAGTTCTTCTAGTATTTCAACTGGATTGTATGCAGGAAACACCTTTGTTTTTGGTCATGTTTTCCTATCTAGACACCCATAAAGCCCATTTTGATGACAAAGTGATGTTTTGAGGGAGGGAAGAGACAGATATTCTACATTATGGATATACTTCTCACTATCCAGATTCCTGAAAGGTAAAAGATATTCCCCTTTCACCATTCCCAGATTATTCATGAAACGTCATAACAGAAACAATAATTTCAGAGGACTTCATTGAAGGTCACAGACTTTAAATACTTTGGGATGACCTGCTTATGGATTATGACATCAAGACAAACACAGAGACCCTTAGAGTTCTACAAAGAAAACAAATATACTGACCCGAATCTCAGCAATATTTAGCACAATTCAGAATTGCAGACGCTAGCTTGACACGCACCATACTAGTTTTATAGAAGACTTGTATAAGAGACACTACATATAAAACAAACTGTGGGTAATTCTAACAATTTTGAGTTTTGACTGATCCTACGAATGCAATATAGTAATGAATAACTACATTCAAGAGGACAACTTTACCTTTGTCGCTCCGTTAATACTGCACTGGTGCTACTGGGAGAGAGGCCAAATTCTAAAATGACCTATAAACTTAATTACTAGATACTACAAAAAGGTTTATACCACTTTTAGCTACTATCCATTAGATCAATATCCTGCCTGATCTGCTGTCAGAGGAGGGTGCAGATCCATTAGATTGTTCTATGTTTAGACATGATGTAACTGTCTTGTTTTTTTCACATCAAATATTATGCTTCATGTATTTTTTAATTATTATTTTGATATTACAGAAGTACATTTAAACCAACGTAACTAATATTTTGATACTTAAAGGTCAGTATGTACTCAGTCAGAAGTCAAGGTCAAAACTCAGTCTTTTCCATTAAATTATTGCTTTCTCATATAACTAAAATAATAGTTTTAATAATACGTTTTCTAATCTTTCTTCGTTTTTAAATACTTAAAAGACAATTCTGCGATGTTGATGTGTTTAAAAGCTGATGTCAGATATTAGAAATATGAGTGATGTAAAGCAGTGAGCTACATATATATATATATATGCGTCAGCGAGGTCACGTGACTAGTATCACGCCACATCCTTCTCGAACCTTCATGAATTGTCGGGAGACTACTAGATTGGGGGTAGTCTGGTATATACAAGACGGTCACAACCTGACGGAACAATGTAATGAGTAATTTAATGTATGCGGACAGAATATTGTTGGAGACGTGAGTTATAGCGTTTGTTATAGAGCGACTGTTGAAATTAAGTGTATCGTAAAGTTGTATTCGGAAAGAATAAACTAGTTTTATTTAAGAAAGGACTTGTGTCGCTAAAGTTTAGTCGGAAAGAATTTACGGAAAATTAACTAACGAACGGTGGCGTAACAATATATTTATTTATAAATGTTATGCAATGATATCAGCAGTGCGACACATTCCATATTTGATCTACTATATAACATGTATTCTGATTACACAGGCCTGCGATGGTTTTATTGTCTTCAAATTTTTACATGTTCTTCAATAATTCCTGTACGCTGAATCTGAAAATATCTTTTCTCCATCACGTACAGATTTTTCACAAAACGTCATATGTAATTTTATACAAGTGAATAATTTTCATTGAAATCGAGTCACATTTTTTATGCTTAAAATATTGACAACCACTGGCTATATATTTCTCTAGACCAATCGCGACGTGAGAGTCTTAATGGTCGTTCTATAACCCAAACATAATAATATAAAATGTTCATTGTGGTAAACTAAATAATGATTTGATCTAAGTAAGAGTTTTCTTTTTCTCTTCCCGATTTGTAAAAAAACCTTATGCGATAGAAAAAAATGAATTATTTTCGAAGTCTGCGTAACTTAATTATGGGGAAATCCGTTATTAAAACCAAAACAACTTTTATTAAGTTTAAATTCGCAGGCCTGGGTTATCACAGACTTCGGTTGTCACTTTAATCTTGCATTCTATATACCTCATATAGGTGCCTAACACATGCCAGAAGGGATACGACCTCCTCATTAACAACTATATATATAAGTATCGAAATATTGCAACAATGAATACTAGAAGACACTGTGGCAAGTGTGCTTGGTATGTACAATAACTTAAGTTTTTTGAAGATGGAAGAAATGTCTAGTCATCAAGCAGCGTTTTTAAAGTGCTCGACGTTATCAGGTGGTTTGATGATCGAAGTCTTCTCAAGTAGAGAAAATAAATTGCCCTGCGCTGAATTTCTTTAAACTCAAATCTACGTGAAGGTGCTACATTCGTAAGAGATCAGGATGCATTACAACACTTCTGGATCATTTCTGTTTCGGATGAGTTGATTACAAAGGTCAGTTTCTGCGAAGGATGTCGTTGATAGGGATGTATTTTTTAAGGAAGATTCATATCGTTTAAAGAGACAAAGTTTTTACAAGGCGTTCGATGGTGTTTTTTGTGATTAAAACTCCCGATACTGATGTCGTTCTTCTATTGATTGATTAACTCTGAGTACTTGTACGTACAGACAGGGATGGTTACCGCTGTGTCGAATCAAAAGGTATCACGGAAGATCTTCAGAGCCTCAAATATGCAAATATTTCTTCAGTGATGTGCGTTTATAAGTACGACTTTATCTTTGCATTTTGTCGCTTGGTTGAAAAGTCTGTTATGAGGAGAGAGAGAGAGAGAGAGAGAAGCACTGAAACGTTCATTGAATCGGAGAGTTTACCCGACTTATCTAGACACAACTAAAAATTGATTAGTTTGCTGTATGATGCCGGAGAGAAATAATAATAATAAAATGGCACAGGAACTTGGGTGCAGCAGCATCCCTTGGTTTTAAGAACAGTGATGCTGGGTAGCTGCTGGTTTTAGTAATACATTTCAACGTAATAATAACAACCGAATAGATAACTTCCATTATACAGTTTTGTTAAATAGTTTCAGCGCCATTGAGAAAAAACACCGTAGCCTCAACCAAGTGCGAACTTTAGCAGGTACGAAAGATGCGAAACGTTACTGTTCTGAGAACATTCTGTCAGGGCTACAGGTGGTTATCATCGCGCAGTGCTCAACCTGATTTCCCTTCACCTGTTGGTTATGGGTGGCTAAAGGAAAATGGCGTTACTCACCCCCCCCCCCCAAGTATTCTGGAAGTCAAACAGTGAGTGAATTTTTGAGGGACGTGTTTTATCAGAATGCACATATGTAACTAAAATGGGACACCTTTCATTGTAATGGAAGTGAAAAATGTAGAAGTTAATGTTAGTAAAGATAATACGACGGAAAAGGGATGCATAGATTAAATGTGTCATTAAGATACAATGCATTGTTGAAAACATACAGGAACATTGAATATCAGTTTTCATCCTGAGCCATTAACTCGGATGGAAAAGGGGTCCACATACGCGTTTCAAGGGGTGCTTTTTATGGATCAAACTCGGATGTTCAAAGAGGGTGGCGAATAATCACCTTTAATTTAAGAAGTTTCACCATTGCCTGAACATAGCAGTAACCCTAGATACATCTGAATTCATAATGCATATACAATATTATTTAAAATTTGAAAACTGTATCCTAAGACACATTTGTTTCTCAACGCAATCATTGTAGTGCAGGTATTGTAAAGGATAACCTTATTGATGCTAGTGTAATTTCAAAATTCTCTTTTGTACTTTAAGTAGATGTCATAAATAATTTTTATTATTTTAATGTTATTGATTATAACATTTGCAGTGTTAGAAATACCATTAGTAAATATCAATAAATACAATATGTTAAACTTTAAAGTAAATGTACTATTATCCAAAAAAATATAAATTTGTAGATACAGGAGCTTAAAAACTGTACTCCGTACTATATAGTGGGGTACATAAAACCCAAACATTCCAGAGACGGGGGTTATAAAATAAGTAGACCCCTATAAAGGGGATCCTTCTTAAAAGTATGGAGCAAGTATATGTACCCCCTAAATATAGAGCGAATGATCTGGGTTTTCCTCTGGTCAATTAATCCATCTATCTCTTCAGAAAATTTGAAATAAAACATAAATTTGATATCGGTAATTTCATTAATATTGGTATCTTTGTAAGATTTGTATTTTACGATAGGTTATTGGCAGCAAATAACGACCCATTTATACTTCAGTCTTGTACAAGCTTCCAATTCCTATTAATTTTGCAATTTCATTTACATCACATTGTTTGAACATAATACTAAAACTGTAAAATGATCGCCTATTCTTATTTTATAAATCATAATAGATCGAAAACTCATTACAGAATTTTTTGTTAATTAATATAAGACTTCATCCACTTGTTCAAATTATACAAGACTTTTCAGAAACAAAGACTCCTGAAACTTTTATATAAAAGACTGACAACAATTGATTCAATGTATTCAAACTTTGGATATTTCATTGTTTTCCACAGACACAGGGATAAAAAAGAAAACCGCGCAGAGTTAATATTTTTCTAGATCTATACCTCTCGAATTTATAGATAAAAGATCCATATATGCCCGGTGAGTTTTTTGTGCTATATCCAATGATTTATGATAACATAATAAAACAAGATCACTTATCTTGGTGTGGTCGTTAATTTGGTTAATATTTATTATGTCTAAGCCAACACATTTATTTTGTATTATAACACAGAAAGATCCTATGTTTATAACACTAGATGAAGTGTGATATTTATGTAAATTGTACTAAAGTTCTTAGCTTTGTAAACTTTAAACCGTTGGGTCTGTGGCGTTGTGAAAACCCCGTAAATCACATTGTATGGTCAGTTGTTTTTCCTCTTCTCAGTCTGACCAAACTAGTTCAGTTTGACCTCACGTTGAGCAGAACAAAAGATGGACGACCATAACAAAGAATGGTGCTTAGGCATAGCTGTGTGCCTTGGACTTTTCAATGAATTATTATATGATCAGAAGGAGGAAAAAATTAAACTCAATTATATCCAAAAAAATCTGGATTTGTGAATTGGTATAAAAAAGACCAGTTTATGCTGCATAAAAACTGTTCTATAAAACAATATTTTTTATTGGTTATAAACCAAATTGGGGGGGGGGGACTAGTTACAAGCAGCAGTGACATGGCAGAAGGGGATAAAGTTGTCAGGTGATACTTATTCTAGTCATATTTCTAGATAATAATTCATAGGCATGTTTGAATAAAAATAAATAAATGGTGTCCTCTGACATTGGTGTCAGTGTCAGAGGACACCACTTAACTTAAAGGTCATCACCAGAGGGAATTCAGTACGCCTTCTGTTTCTAATGTAACTTTATCTTTAATCTTCAAGACTGGTGATTTAAAAAATAATAATATCAAAATAAAAACCTTCCGAACTGCTTGTCTGTAGAAGTATTAATATTAGCTATTCTTCAAATATCTGTATAGTCTACTCGTGGTAAGTAGAACTTTAAACACTAATTTTTTTTCTGTCTACTTGACAGGGTATAAATTACACCATCCCATACATAAAATATTCCTACCTGTACTATATTCTCTAGCTGGTACATACAGAGGCCGAGTTCAGCCATTGTAGGCTTGTACATTTCTCGTAGTCTATAGTCTTCCATTAATCTCACCATGACAGTAAAAGCTTCTTCTTCTGGCATCTAAGTATAATACCCACAATTATCCAACTTCATTAAACAAGTATATTTGTTACAGTCATTGTTTCTTCAGTTGTAATACATTAACTTCATTTACTGTTTCTGAGAGTTAACTAAGTTTAAATTGTTATGGCTATATGCGTGTATTTTAAACGAATAAAGATAATTGTGCTCTAATAATGGCTGGAGACGGCTTGAATGGGTAATGAAGAAAAACGTTAATATAAGTTTAACATAACAGCAAATGTACAACGTTTCGACAAGGTTTTATCATCATCATCAGGCAGTTCAAACTTTAAATATTTTCTATTTATAACAGAATATTCGGATTTACATATTCACATTTTGTTCAGTAACCTTTGGCATTCTAGTAGTTGTTTTCAGCAAGGAAAATAATACTGTTTTCTTATTGCCGTACACTTACCTGCAACAATAGCAACCCAACAATAAAGGCAGTCCCCTGACAATAACCCACTTCTCTGTCGTGAAGAGAATAAGCTTTCATAACGTTAAAAAGACTCTGTTGACCCGGTCCATCCTTTTCTTGAAAGAATTCGTGTTCTGGGTACGTTCTGGCTATGTCTCGCTTAATAACTTTCTCGCACGGTGAGGAACTCTTGACGTATTCGGCGTACTTATCCTTAGTCGGACAAGTTTGTGCGTTACATAAACGTTGCCAGACGGTACCACGGAAATTATGTGGAATACCTTTCCTAATTAAGTCCTGTAGAAAAAGTGGTATTCGGAGGTCAATTTTCATTGAGAAAATACACAGTAATGTAGTCAATTGATAATTATAGCATAGAATACACTCAAGTAAATATAGTCGACTATATTTACTTGAGTGTATTCTATGCTATAATTATCAATTGACTATATTTACTTGAGTGTATTCTATGCTATAATTATCAATTGAGTGTATTCTATGCTATAATTATCAATTGAGTAAATACAGTCCATTCATAATTATAGCATAGAATTCTCTAAATGAATTGGGATTTTCAACTTGAACTTTGACTAACTGGCTAGAAGAGAGGCGTCTAATATTTAGTATAGTTGTCCCTAATTTTGAACTACTCACTGCCACTTGTACGGCTTTTTGAACCGAATAATAGGATTGATAGTTACTTTTATAACACGACCACAGCTGAAAGTGCAGAATGTGTTTAGTGACGTTCAAATCTCGGACTCCGCACCGTTTGATTCGTAGCATGATACGTTAACAGGGCCACGCCCGGCCTAATCCTTTAAAGATCCGCCTTCCACACTGTTTTTTATCTTAAGAGGGCAAGTAATTCTGGCCAACGGTTGAAGATTTAATGAAACATAATGATAAGGTGCAGAGTTAAGTTTTATTTACAAAAAAAAAACAAAAAAAACTTAAAACACGAGTAGCTCGTAAGTACAATGCTTTTTGAAGCCTAAATTCAGCTTTTCTTCACTAAGGCTCGCCATTATTTCGCATGGTTTGAATGTCAACTTGACATTTTAAGAACTTCAACTGTGGAACTGGATACTAAAAAAAATTAGACAATAGATTTTCGTTATTTTCTAGAGCTTTTGAGACGCACACAATAAATATTTCCAATAATCAAAAAGTTCAAACGTTTGTTCTACAAAATTAACAATAGAGAAACACTAATGCAAAACAATATTACACATCTTAACTAGGTGTAGTTAAAATATTCTTACTTTAATTAAATATACTTGTACTTGTTTTCTGTGAACACAGTAAGAACAGCTCATTTATCAAAACTTGAGTTACTTAATGCTTTGTACTGTCAGTTACTTGAAGCTTTATAGTTCACATTCATTTATACCCCCCCCCCCAAAGTCTTACCAATAGATAGTTTCTACGTAAAATAAGCCAGCAGCAACCGTAAAATGTTTTTTTTTAAATCTTAACATTAAAACGAATATACGTGCTTTGCCCTAATTAGGATTAACTTTTTTAGTTATTCATATTTCATTTGGCATTGTCATACAAAAAAAAAAACAATTAAGCATTTTAACTAGAGCTAGATAACCATTTTAAGATGAGGCTAAAGTAGAAAAAAAAAGTCCATTATATAGTGTACACAACATAGTGCGTTATACAGGGTGGCTCAAAATTATATTTCCATTTTATAATTTAATAATGAAATAACTAAGGAAATATAACCATGCAGTTTTCAATATCTTGTAGCCTAACTCAATCAGCTTCTTCGTGTACATAATTAGTGGCTCTCAGCACGTTTAACTGATATTAGATTTTAGTCCACGTTCGCTGCAGCATATCCACAGTTACAGTAGCGATGGCATCCGTTATCCTGGTCTTTACTTCGTGATGTTTGCTATAGGTGTGTGATACACGATGTCCTTAACATACCCCCACCCCAAAGAAAGAAATCTGGTAGATTGATGTCTGGCGGAGGCCTTACGAAATTGGTTCACTCCAACCAATACATCGCATTCAGCCTCTTGTTGCACTTTTGTCATCTTACGGGGTAACACTACTCACTACAGTGAAAAACAAAACATTTTAACAGAAACTGTTTGAGTTGGGCTTCATGATGTTGAAAATAGCATGGTTGTATTTCTTTAGTTTTTTAATTATTAAATTTTAAAATAGGAAATATAATTTTGGGCCTCCCTGTATTCTATAGGTGAAACTGTCCTGTAGAACGCATAAGACTTTAATTCTCTGCAATATCTTTGACTTATTAATGCTACTTGGGACGCTAATGTCTTTTGAAATATTTATTTCACGCTTGGCTTGAAACTACGGCTAAATACTTCGCACCCCTTATTTTGAAATTCCGTGAAGTTATGGTTTGTTTTATTGTTAAGTACAAAGCTACACAATAAACTATCTGTGCTGTGCCCACCATGGGCATCACAACCGGTTTTTGCGTTATAAGCCTTCATATTTGTCACTGAGCCAGTGAGGGGCTGAAGCTATAGTAGTGTTAAATTTAACAACTTCTTTGTTTCTGGTTGTCCAATATTACTTTATAGTGATATTTACAGGAATTCGCGAAGTAGAACCGTTTTGAAGAATAGCTTATTATGTATGTTATAGCCTTGTACCTGGAAAAGGTTTTTACTGTATAATAACTAATTATGTAAACCCCAGTAGTATAGATATTTATTTTTTAATTGACTGAAATCCCTAAAAACAAAATGGTTTTTAGAACATGCTTTACCTTCACGTAAGAATTTTTCTTTTTGATAAAATAATCCCATTCATTAACTACTTGATCCCAGATCATCCAGACATCTTGATTATCGTCCACAGTTGGACTGTGTTGGCTGTTTCCTGAGTTCAATGACAGCTGACTTCCACCGGAGGACTTTCTGGAATATGATGATGACAAAGAGCTCAAAGATCTGGAATCGGGTTCGTTTAATCTGAAATAATACGCGAAACGATAAATATCATACATTGTGAACAGAAACCACAATGATATATAAAACGAAACATGGTAATAGCCAAACCTTTTCTTTTATATTTTGCGAAATATTTAACATGTATCTTCATGAAACCCATAAAGGTGGCACTCCAAATGGAAAAAAATCATAAAACCCTGTTCATTCTTGTACTATGTCAATGTTATGTTTGTATGTATTGTTCACGTTCAGGCTATAGTACGTTCCTCATTTTTACAACATATTTGTGACGTCACGGATAAAATATGTGTTGATGATAATTCGTATGCTCAATTTCATATAAATGTAAATTCTTCGGTTTTCGTAATACACGTTTTTGGCACTGGTTTGATAAATTATCTGGTGTCACTAGTTTGATGCCTCCCAGTGGCAAAACGATATGTCTGCGGATTTAACCGCTAGAAACTGGATTTCGATACGATACTCGTGGTGGGCAGAGCACAGATAGCCCATTATGTGGCTTTGTTTTAAATTTCAAACAATCAAGTACTAGTTTGTTACATTATGTGACGTCACAGGTTGTGATAACTTATCTGGTATTACTGGTTTGTTACATTATGTGACGTCACAGGTTGTGATAACTTATCTGGTATTACTGGTTTGTTACATTATGTGATGTCACAGGTTTGATAAGCCATCTGGTGTCAGTTTTTCCTGTAGCTTTTCCTGAATGATTTTTCAGCGTGTATTTTACCCTTTGCAAACCGACACACACACACACACACACACACACACACACACACACACACGACAGACTTTGTCTATTCAACAAAAAAACGTGGGAGGATGTGCCGCTTTCCTGTTAATTTATCAGCTTGACAGGTAATTGGAGCTGTTGAATAAATCATGAAATGTAACAAATATTACATGCTACTGCGACAAAACTTGTTTTCTATTCACGCAATAGATATCATGATGACCTTCATTGTTCCTAAAGGTCAGAAATTATTTGTTAGCCCGGTATATATTTTGCTTATAGCATCAAATATGTTTCTGGATTTGAAGGCTACAAACATTTTCAAAAACGCAACTTATTCTAACTGTAAGATCTTTGCTCTTCCGATGGATTCAGCCCTCCCAGTGGCAAAGCGGTATGTGTGCGAACTTACAACGCTAGAAACCGGGTTTCGATACCCGTGGTTGGCAGAGCACAGATAGCCCTTGTGCAGCTTTGTGCATAATTAAAAACCGATCGGGCCCGGCATGGCCAGGTGGTTAGGGCGCTCGACTCTCAATCTGAGGGTCGCGGGTTCGAATCCCCGTCACACCAAACATGCTCGCCCTTTCAGCTGTAGAGGCGTTATAATGTGACGGTCAATCCCACTATTCGTTGGTAAAAGAGTAGCCCAAGAGTTGGCGGTGGGTGGTGATGACTAGCTGCCTTCCCTCTAGTCTTACACTGCTAAATTAGGGACGACTAGCGCAGATAGCCCTTGTGTAGCTTTGCGCGAAATTGAAAACAAACAAACAAATAAACCAATCGATTCAACGACGCATAAGATAAGAAATATCTGAACGCTTGCTATACATATTTTAAAATAAGAAACGCAACACAAATATATCAAAACTTTGAAAGGAATGAATGGCGAGCTATTAAATTATTAAGAGTGATTGATTGTACTAAATTATACAGAAAATACTCTAAAATTTCGATAATATTCACCAGTTACTAAAACGTGGGGAGATACTCACTCACTTCACCATCTGAATACAAGTACAATACTGATGTCCTAATATCAGTTAATTTTGACTTACACCATTTCATCATGGTAAGAGCTTATGGTTAACATTTTATTGTATTCAGCAGACACAAAGATCAGTTTGAAAGATTTGTTTTTCAAATTAAAAAAATGCTTATTTGAACCTACGCGGTCTTTACGTTTTTTTTTCTTCACATCTTATTTTTATTGGATGGAATAACTGAATATTCATTTATATAAATAAGTACTACACAAAATAGGACATTTGTATATCTATACACAACCTTTGTTTTACCATAGAAACAATCCCCGTGTCAGAGTAGCCTAGCTAGTTGTTGTAAGTTGTATAGTTTAGGAGACTTTTAAACCAAAATATTCACATAAAAATAAATAAGTGTGAAGCCCAATATATCATTTGATATACCACGTGTCGCAAAGTTATACCGGTTTGGAGGAATTTCATCATTCATCAGTAACCCTGGACAAGGAAGGGCAAATCTAAAGAATAAGGCTACGCTTTGTATAGTGTCGGAGTGTATATTGTAGGTGTGGTGTTTTTCAGTAATTGAGTTCAGGATCTGCCTTTCTTCCTTCAACTTCTCTGTTCTGGAAATGTTATATCGATGACCAG